GGAAAGGTAGACTGTGGACAGTCTTGAATTCAACAAAAATTATGCACCTACTATGTACTAGGAAATAAAACTGTGCCAACCCTAAAAGAGTATACATTTTGATGAGTTCTGCTTCCTGGGAGCCAAGATGGTGGAGTAGGAAGTAAGTTTCTCTCATCATCCCTTATTAACCTCTGAAAGTCCAGAAAATATTGCCTCAGGAAAAAACCCTGGAACAGCTGAACCAGCAGAAGGCGGGTGTAGCAGTCCAGTAGCCCAGAAAGCTTAACGGATTAACAGGAAAGGCCCCTCTTGCCCTGGGGGAGGAGGATCAGTACAGAAGGGAGATGGTCCAGCAAGCTAGTAGAAAGCCCCATCTCAGCACACCGGGGGAGATCCTGAACCCCAGGTGGTGGAGCAGGCAAGCATCAATACCAGGACCCGCGAGTGCCTCAGTACAGGCTGGGGAACCAATGGAAACCAGCTCAGAAAACCACCATGTGCCACAGCATTCTACCATAGCCAAGTCTCCCAGTGCCTCAGCAAAACTCTGGGGAGTGCAGCTTCAAGGGCGAAAGCCCCAGGTGGAGAAACATCCCGCAGCAGCAGCAAAACATCCACCTGCAAGGAGCCAAAGAAAGTGAAAGGCCTGGGTAAGCAGGCAACCTCCAGAGGCCAGACTACCATCCCTACCCCTAGAGCCCCAGTGTTGCTGATTCCAGTTCAACACCAGGTGAGCTGCCAGAAATTTATCTTGAAGGAGGAGGTACAAAATCTAATGGAAGAAAACAATTTGTTAAAAATTAGAATTGGGCAAGTGGAAGTTAATAACTCTGTGAGAGAGTGAGAATCAATCAAACAGAAACAAAAGAATGAAAAAATAGATGAAAATGTAAAATATCGCATTGTTAAAACAACTGACCTGGAAAATAAATCCAGGAGAGACAATTTAAAAATTATTGGTTTACTAGAAAGACTTGTATGGACTAATGCTGAGTGAAGTGAGCATAACTAGTGATACATAGTAACAGCCATGTTGTGCGATGACTATTGTTGATAGACTTAGCCCTTCTCAGAAATGCAAGGATCTAAGAAATCTCCAGATATCTCACTATGGTAAATGCTGTCCACATCCAAAGAAAGAACCATGGAGTTTGAATGCAGATTGAAGCATACTATTTGCTATTTTTTTTCTTCTGTTTTGTTTTGTTTCCTCTTTTTGGTGGTTCCTCCTATTGGTTCTAATTCTTCCTTACAACATCACTAATGTGAAAATATGTTTAATAGGAATGTATATGTAGATCGTAGATCAGATCGCACGCCATCTTGGGGAAGGAGGTCGGGAGTGAGGGGGAGAAAATTTTTAAACTCAAAAGCTTATTTAAGGAAGTGATTGTTGATAAATAAAAACAAATTAATAAAAAAATTAAAAAAAAATTATTGGTCTACCTGAAAACCATGATGAAAAAAAGAGCCTGGACAGCATATTTCAGGAAATCATCAAGGAAAATTGCCCTGAGGTCCTAGAACTAGAGGGTAAAATAACCATAGAAAGGGGGCAGCTAGATTGGGTAGTGGATAGAGCACCATGAGTTCAAATTCGGCCTCAAACCAAAACACTTGACACTTAATAGCTGTTTGACCCTGGGAAAGTCACTTAACCCCAATTACCTAAAAAAAAATAGCCATAGAAAGAATCTATTGATCAACTCCTGAAAGAGATCCCAAATTGAAAAAGCCAAGGAATATAGTAGCCAAATTCCCAAATTACCAGGTCAAAGAGAAAATACTGCAAGCAGCCAGAAAGAAACAATTTAAATACCATGGAACCACAGTCAGGATTACACAGGACCTTGCAGTTTCTACATTAAAAGATCGTAGGGTGTGTAATACAATATTCCATAAGGCAAAGGAGCTTGATTACAACCAAGGATCAACTACCCAGCAAAAATGAGCATAATCTTTCAGGAGAGGAGGTGGACATTCAACGAAATAGGGGACTTCCAAACCTTTCTGATAAAAAGACCAGAGCTCCACAGAAAATTTGATCTTCAAATACAAGACTCAAGAGAGACATAAAAAGTAAACAGGACAGGAAAAAACAACATGTTATTAATAAGAGAAAACTGTTTACATCCCTAAAAGGGAACTCTTGAGAACTGTATTGCTATTATACCATTTTATAGGGGTATACATAGAGGGGATGGGTATAAGTTGACTTTGATGTAATGATAAAAAAAAAATCTAATTAAGTGGGGTAAATGGATTTAAGTAAGTGGATTAATCTGATCTAATTAATGGATTGTACTGGGAGAAAAGGAAAGGAGGAGGCAAACAAGGGTAAATTATGTTACAGGAAAAGGCACAAAAATTTATTACAGTAGAGGGAAATAAGGGAGGGAGATGAGCATTGTTTCGACTTTACTCTCATCAGATTTGGCTCAAGAAGGGAATAATAATCAGTTAGGTATAGAAATCTAACTTGCCCTATAGGCAGTAGGAGGGAAAAGGGGAAGAAAAGGGAAGGGGCTAATAGAAGGGAGGTGGGACTGAGGGAGGCAGTGGTCAAAAGCAAAACACTAGTGAGGAGGGAAAGGGAGAAAGGAAAAAGAAATGCATAAATAGCAGGGGAAAACAGGATAGAGAGAAAGACACAGATAGTAATCATAACTATGGATATGAATGGAATAAACTCTTCCATAAAACAGAAGTGGATAGCAGAATGGATTAAAAACCATAATCCTAAATATGTTGTTTATAGGAAACACATTTGAAACAGAGTGACACACACGGTAAAGGTAAAAGGTTGGAATAGAATATATTATGCTTCAGCTGAAGTAAAAAAAAAAAGCAGGGCTAGCAATCCTGATCTCAGACAAAGCAAAAGCAAAAACAGATCTTATTAAAAGAGGTAAGGAAGGAAACTACATCCTAAAAGGCACCATAGGCAATGAAGAAATACCATTACTAAACATCTATGCACAAAGTGGTATAGCATCCAAATTCTTAGAGGAGAAGTTCAGGGAGTTACAGGAAGAAATAGACAGCAAAACTATACTAGTGGGGGACCTCAACCTCCCCCACTCTGAAATAGATAAATCTAACCACAAAATAAACAAGAAACAAGTTAAGGAGGTGAATAGAATATTAGAAAAGTTAAATATGATAGACCTCTGGAGAAAATTGAATGGGAATAGAAAGGAATATACTTTTTTTTCTCAGTGGTAGATGGCACATACACAAAAATTGACCATGTACTAGGGCATAAAAACCTCACAATTCAATGCAGAAAGGCAGAAATATTAAATGCATCCTTTTCAGATCATGATGCAATAAAAATTATATGTAATAACAGCCATGGAAAGATAGGCTAAAAATTGGAAACTAAATTATCTAATCCTAAAGAATGAATGGGTCAAACAACAAATCATAGAAACAATCAATAACTTCATTCAAGAGAATGACAATAATAAGACAACACACCAAAACTTATGGGATGCAGCGAAAGCAATTCTTTGGGGAAGTTTTATATCTCTAAATGCTTACATGAATAAAATAGAGAAAGAGAAGATCAATGAAATGGGTATACAAGTAAAAAACCTAGAAAAAGAACAAATTAAAAATCCTCAATTAAATACCAAATTAGAAATACTGAAAACCAAAGAAGACATTGATAAAATTGAAATTAAGAAAACTGTTGAACTAATAAATAAAACTAAGAGCTGGTGTAATGAAAAAACCAATAAAATAGATAAACCTTTGGTTAATTTAATTAAAAAAAAAGAAAGAAGAAAACCAAATTACCAGTATCAAAAATGAAAAGAGTGAATCCACCTTCAAGGAAGAGGAAATTAAAACAGTAATTAGGAACTATTTTGCCCAACTGTATGTCAATAAATTTGACAATCTTAGTGAAATGGATGAATATTTACAAAAATATAAATTGCCCAGATTAACAGAAGAGGAAGTAAAATACTTAAATTAAATAACACCATCTCAGAAAAAGAAATTGAAGAAGGAATATACATTTTGTTAGGACAACACAATACTCCTAAATAAATATAAGATAATTTGGGGGAGGGGAGTAAGGAAAGGGAATAAACATTTATGTAGCATCTATTATGTGCCAGGCTCTGTGCTAAGTGAGTTTACAAATATTTTCTCTTTCTTATTTGATCCTTACAACAACCCTGTGAGGTAGATGCTATTAATCTCCATTTTACAATTGAAGAAACTGAAGTAAACAGAAATGACTTTGCTGGGGTCATCCAGCTAGTAAGTAAATGTCTGAGGCTGGATTTGAACTGAGGTCTTCCTTCCTCCAGGCCTAGTACTTTGTCCACTGCTCCACTGACAACTAGTTGGAAGGAGTGGAGGAAGATGATTTAGGAGAGGTTGCTTGTGGAAGGCAGTACCCTATCTACGATTTGAAGGAAGTTAGGGGTGACTTAAGGGGTAGAAGGGAGAAGGAAGCATTAGTCTATTTTTTTTTATTCAGTAGGAAGTATGAAGGCACTGAAGGCTTTTGAGCAATGGATTAATAGAAGTAGACATATACATATACATTTATATGTATACACACATGCATAGACATACACACATATACACCCCTCATGACCCTGTTCCTGGCTCCCAAATTTCTGAACGGTGCTGACTCATCCTAGAAACTTCTCTCAGATCCTGAGGCCTCCTTGGTCGGAAACATCCACCACTCCTGATGTCTTTTCAACCTGGAGTATCCCTTTGTAAGATCTGTTTCCTCCTGGAGCTTTCATTTTATGAATATTGACCTTATGAAAGGGTCCCCATCCCTGCTTTAGGCTAATAGGCTTTATGAAGCTTTATGCATCTTTTTAAAAGTGGGAGAAAGTCACCAAAATTAACTCCCTCCTACCTCAGGCATAATTCATAAGTTAATACAATAACTAATTATGAAGACAAATACTATAAAATATCAATGAAAACTAAAACATGACAGAAAAAGCAGACTTATTTGAACACTTTATGATTTCATTCTTTTTTCATATCAGTTGTCTCCTGTATCCATGAGAAATGACAGTACTTTGGTATCTGGACAGAGGAGAATATAAAGGCATATCAGCTATTTTTATGTGGGGGGAGCTTTTCTTTAAAACAATGTTTCGATCTTCCCCATGGCAAAGTCTTTCAGAGTGATCCAGAAACAGGCTTTCTTCTAAAGGACCAGAGTAGATCCCATTCAGCTGTGCATGCTGAGGAAAGAAACAACAGGTTTTGTATATTATAAAGTGACCACTTGCTTTATATATCAAAGGTTTCTAGGAATATAGATGTAGAACTAAAAGGGACCTCAGAGGTCATCTAATAGAACCTATACCAAAGTATTAATGCCCTTTACAACATCTCCAACTGACTGAATTTCTACATACCATTCCACTTCTGGACAAATATAATTATGAGGATGTTTTCCTTTATATTAGGAAGAAATCTACCTTCCATCTATTAATGCTAGTTTTGAGCTCTAAACCCAAGCATAACAAGTCTAATCTTTCTTCCATATAATGGTTTTCCAAGTACTTGAAAATAACAATCTTCCCCCTAAATCTTCTCTCCTTCAGGCTAAATAAATAATTTTTTTTCCATTCTGATTCCTAGAATCACAGCTAGCTTTTTGATGCCTGGTACAAGCTTCACAAAAAGTGACACAAAAACATCTTAAGTCAACTTTTTAAGACAATTGTAGTAAAAAGAGGTTTGGAAAAATCCCAGGACATGGGGGAATATGTCTCTTGGGAGAGGGATAAAGACCGTAAAACAACTAGTGAAGCCACCATGGGGCTGGTTGGAGGGCAGAGCAAGGTAAGGCTGGGCTGGACCAGGGAGAAGCTATCCTGGGGCATACCCTCCCTTGGGAAGATAAGCAGACTCAGTAGAGGTAGAGGGCTGGTGCCACTATCACTCCTGCTTCCCCTCCAACCTTTATAGCAAGGTTTCTTGCTCCAGCTGTCCCTGTCCTCACCTCACCTCCTGTCACCATCTCCTACCACTCTGCAAAGGTGGATAGGGAAGGGGCAAACAAAGTAAGTCAGGCATTGTTGAATAAATAAATATTTACTATTATACTATGCATAAAACGCTCATGCATTGTTATTCTGAATCAAAGAATATGATTAGTTATCAGTTTGATTCCTTGCTAAATCTATAACTCTTCCCTGATTTAGCAAAACATAGTCTTAGCAAAAAATAATTTCCTAGTAAGTTTGATATATTTAAAATTAATTATCCAAGCACAGAAAAAATATTCTCTTCAAAGCATAAAACTTACCTGGGTGGTCTAATGATTAAAAAACATCTTATGTTACTTTTGTTTATTTAGATTAATTGACAAACATTTATTAAGTATCTATTATGTGCCAGTTACCAGGACAGATGCTGGGAATACAAAGACAAAAATAAAACAGTCCCTGCCCTCAAGGTATTCTATCTAGGGAGAAGTTTGTCTTGATTATGTTCTTCTCACTTTGTTTCCCCTCCCCACAACAAGTGTTGCTTGACCTCTATATCAAAATCTGAACTTTTTTTTTTAATCAGAAAAATTCAGGTCAGTTTATATTCTGGGTAAATTTATATGTGCAATATAACAATTTATTTTCTATATACAGAAAGGGACAGGAATCTTTGCTTCTGGGTCCTCCTTTACATTTTTTAAAATAAAATTTTTATTTCTTTAATCAATGAAAATCCAACTTTTCTCCCTCCCACCCTTCCCTTATTTAGGAAGAAAAATAAAATCCCTGTAGCAAATAAAAGTCAGGGAAAACAAATTACATGTTCTTTTTCTTTTTTAAAAAAATCACCCTTTGACTGAAAAATGAAATAATAAAAAAAATTTGCAAAATTTTTCAACAGGCTGAACTGTCTGTCTTTACCTGAAAATACATTATAACATTTACTGTGGTACTCTAACAGTATGTGCAATATAAGCTTAAAAATATAGGTGCTATATTGTACTGTTCAACGTAACGAATCTTGCTTCTGTTTCTAAGAACCTGTCTTAAGGTGCTGCATAGCATTTGCCTTACGTGGGCTTGATTTCTCAATGTGGGGACAAAAGGTAGAAACAACTGCTCTGGTCCCACCTTTGTTTATACTTGTCCACTGAATATATCAATGGCTTCTCAAACACTATATGTTCAAAACAACCAAAGGATCAAAGATCTAGAGCTGTAAAAGATTTCAGAGGGTATCTAGTTCATCCCTTTCATTGTACAGATTTAGAGTAAATTGGAACCCAAGGAGGTTAAGTGATCTGTCCAAGGTCACGTCCAAGGTAGCAATTATCAGAAACGGAATCTGAACCAAGGTATCGTAACCCCAGAACCAATGCTTTTTCTTGTCTTACTAAATATTGCTTCTCAGAACTCATCTTTTCCCCAAAACCCATCCATTTTTCTAACTTCCCTATATTTTTCAAGGGTACCACAATCTATATAGCCACCTGGATTCACAAACTTGGTGTCATTTTCGGTTCTTAACTCTCTTTCTCAGGCCACATTTCCAATCAGTTGCTAAATCTTGTTGATTGTCCTTCTACAACATATCTGTTGCCTTCCCTCCATTCACATGGCCACCACCCTAATGTTAAGGCCCTTACTATCCATCACCTGAACTATAACAGTAGCCTCCAAATAGTCTTCCCCATCTCTGATCTCTATCTTCTAATTTGTGATCCAAACAACTACTAAAATGATATTCTTAAACACAGGTCTAACTTTATTACTCCCCTGCTCTAGAAGTTTCAAAGACTTCCTATTGTCTCTAAGATAAAATACAAACTACTTTGTTTCCAACCTATCTTTTCTAGAATGATTTTAAGATTAGAACTGGAAAGAATTGTAGAGATCTGAAGCTCAGAGAGGTTCTTGCCCAAAGCCACACAGGTAGTATGGTTGAAGAGCCATGTTTTGAATCCAAGATTTTGAATTCTTTCAACTTTATTTCTCTGTCCTATGATTTTGCATAGCTCTTTTGATGATGATTTTACATAGTTCCATTTACAAGGTCTACATTCCAGGCAACCTGGCCTACTTGCTGTTCCTTGTACATGACGTTTCACCTTTTACCTCTGTGTCTTCACACGCTCTCTCTGTAGTCCGCAGCTAGAACAGACTATCTTCTGACTTCCACCCCCTGAAACTTGTGGCTCCCTTCACGGCTCAGCTTAAATGCCGCCAGAAGTAGGGTTCAAATCCCATCTCTGATGTTGAGCAGCTAGGTGATCTTGGGTACATCTCCTAACCTCCCTGGGCCTCAGCTTCCTTAAATATAAAGATTAGGGAATTGGATTAGATGCCTTCCAAGGACCCTTTTCAGTTTAGATCTATGGTCCTGAGATCCATTCTATACACGGCCTTTTCTTATCCTCCCCTAGTTGTTAGTGGTCCCTCTTCCTGTCCAGGGCCCCAAATTACTTTTTTGTTTAATTTTGTATTTACTTAAGTTCCACAGGGGCAATAACTCTTTTATTTTTGTCTTTGTGCTCCCAGTGCCTAGGAAAGTACCTGGCACATAATAGGTACTTAATAAATGCTGTTGAATTGAATTAAATTATTGTCCCCCTTCCATCTACTTACACAACTTAAAATTTTAAATAGTTACTGATAAATGAGAATGCATCTTAGATCATTCATTGTAAGAGTTCGAGTATTGAAATATGTATATATAATTCTATCTATAAATAGCCTTTGAATATATAAAACTAAATGTATAACAATGATGTAACTATAACTATATAATTAAATATATGTATATGTATGGTATAATATATATATACACACATATACACACACACACACACACACGTATATGCACACACATGTACATAAAATTTGTGGATAAAATTTCTGGCCCTGATACCTTTAGATTCACTTTCCTGAATTTCATGTCTTGTTTCCAGCTCATCGTGTAATGCCTGGGAATTAGTCCTTGTTTTAAAGAAAATCTTGGCAAGTGTATCTGGTTGGGCCTGGAGAAGAGAGATTGAGAAGAAAGGACATGTAGAGAACTGAATACACTGAAATCTAACATCAGCTCTAAGGTTCAGTGAAACTGGTGGCAAGTTCCTGAACTTTGTCTTGCCTGGTGCTGTAGAATCTCAGGTGGGGGTTAGGGGAAAGACAAATAAAGGAAAATGAGGAGCCTCTTCTAGATGCTACTTTGAAAAAAAAAGAAAAAAGACCTAATTCTTGTGTACTGTAAGTAGACGCAATGAAACAGTTACTTGCCCCACTCCACCACAAGTAGGTAAGGCTGGGCTACTCTAGCTGAATATTATCATTCCCCCTTGAAGGCTGCCCTCGATGTGTCAACTTTACACATTAAACCAATGTCTCTTGGTGTAAAATCATAGGGGAGGAGCAGTGAAAGAAGGAAGAGAATTTTGTCATTTTCCCTGGGTCCTAGATTCTACTCCACACGCTTTATTCCCTAAAGATAGTTTAAAGAACTTTAATTTAATTACCTAAAGGTAATTCCTCCTCCTTTCCAAAGGAAGAAATAACTTGTTACAAAAAAAAAAGCCTTAGGCCATTTTCTGTATAATCCATAAAGCTTGGGATAATCAGTTCTTGGTATTCTTTGAATATTTTCTGATACTACTTCAGAAGTTAGAACAAATGCCTTCTGTATAAGATGCCCAAAGAGACCAATTAAATTGTTCCCTAATTTCTGTCTTCAATCTTCTCTCTATCCTGTCCAGGGACAATGTAATTCTAGCAGTTCCCTTGTTTTCTCACCATTTCTCCAGTTCATCCTTTTTAGCACCAGGAGTACAAGATGTATCAGCTTCTTTTGCTTCTCCTGCTGAAGCTGTGGCCATCACTAGATGTCCTCCAGAGCAGAGCTCCAACACTGACTGATCCAAAAGATCTTTGCTCACTGATACATTCTTCCTGTGATGACACTGAAGCCCCTGATGGAATGGGATTTCTGTTTCCATAGCAATCCTTGTCAATAGCCACAGAATTGGGGAGTTCCAAGTTCTAAGACATCTTCCCTAGAGCAAGGATGGAATGAGATTTTATAGTCTAGGATGAAAGAAATAAGACATTTACATGAATTACTCTAATAAAAGTTCTAATATGATAAATGCATAGTGACCCAAGAGTTTTATGAAAAGATATGAAGAAGGAAGCTACCACTTCTAGCTGGAGAAATCAAGGCATGACTTTGTAGATTTAAACAAATCGAGATATGGGAATAATATACTAGAGAATAAAAGTCCAACTTAGAGGAAGGAACATATATAGTCCTACTGTTGGCCAGGTACTATGCTATGTGTTTTTATAAATATTATCTCACTGGATCCTCACAACAACCCTGGGAAATAGGTGCTATTATTATCCCTATTTTACATTTGAGGAAGAGGTTAGGTGACTTGCCCAAGGCCACACAGCTAGTAAGTGTTTGAGGCTGGATTCAATCTCAGGTCTTCCTAATTCTACTGTTCCACCAGCTGCCTCTGGTGTAAATTCTAATTTAATGTGAAATAAAGCTGAAAATGTTGGTTGGCTGGAACCAGATAGCCTTAAATGCCAGGATGAGGAGTTTGAATTTTATCTTATAGGCAATTGGGGAGGGGGTGTCACTGAACATTTTATTCTTTAAGAAGATTTCTCTGGTAGCAGGGGATTGGAGAAGGGAGAGTTAGAGGCAAGAAGGGCAATTAAGAGGTTATTTAAATGGTCCAGGTTAGAGGCAATAAAAACTTAAACTAGTTTGGTAGCTGTGGAAATGAAAAAAAAAAGAGAGAGAGAGACAGATGCTAGAGATAATTCAAGTTTTTGAACCAACAGGAATTGGCAACTGGCTGGATATGGGAGACAAGAGAAGGTAATGGTCAAAGGTGATTCTAAAATTCCTAACCAAGGTAACTGGAACAGTGGTGCCACCTTCAAAAGAAATAGATAAGTTAGGAAGAGTAGTGAATTTTGGTAGAGTACTCTGGATCTCAGTTTTCCCCTCTATAAAATGAAAAGGATTGGAGTAGACAATCTCTAAGATGTCTTCCAGCTCCAAAATCCTATGATGACTGTATGCCAAATAGATTTTTTTTTAAAAAGGGAAAAAGACTTATGTGTAAAAAATATTTATAATAGCTCTTTTTGTTGTGGCAAAGAATTGGAAATTTAGGGGATGCTCATCAACTGGGGAATGGCTGAACACGTTGGGGTATGTGATTGTGATGGAATATTACTGTGCTATAAGAAATTTTGAGCAGGATGGTTTCAGAAAAATCTGGGAAGACTTATGTGAACTGATGCAAAGACAAGTGAATAGAACTAGGAGAACATTTTACCCAGTAACAGCAATATTGTAAGGATGATCAATTGTGAATGACTTAGTTTTTCTCAGTAATACAATGATCTAAGTAATCTCAGTAATACAATGATCTAAGTAATCTCGGTAATACAATGAAGGACTTATGATGAAAATGCTATCCATCTCCAAAGAAAGAACTGATGGAATCTAATGAATGAAGATCAAAACAGACTCTTTTACTTTCTTCATTTTTTTGGTCTGTTTTTCTTTTGTAATATGGCTAATATGGAAATATGTTTTGCATTATTTCACATATATAATCTATATCAATTGCTTGCCTTCTCAAGGAGGAAGGAAGAATGGGTAGGAATGAAAGAATTTGGAACTCAAAATTTTAAAAAACAAATGTTAAAATTTTTTTTTACATATAATTGAGAAATATTTAATGAAATAAATAAAAGTATATTGGGGGAAAATGCTATGATGAGTTCAATTCGAAATACACTGAGTTTGGGGCAGCTAGGTGGCACAGTGGATAGAGCAATGGCCCTGAAGTCAGGAGAAGAAGTCACTTCTCTTTGCATCAAATCCAGCCTCAGACCAAACACTTGACACTTATCAGCTGTGTGACTCTGGGCAAGTCACTTAACCCCAATTGCCTAAAAAAAAAAATACACTGAGTTTAAGGACTGAGAAGCATTCACAAGGAGATACTCAGTAGGTAGTTGAAAACATGAGAGAAACTTAGAGGAAAGGTCAGTGTTAGACATAAAGATTTAGGAGAATAAGAACTGAAAAAGTTAACTGGGGGCAGCTAGGTGGTGCAGTGGACAGAGCTCCGGCTTTGGAGTCAAGAAGACTTGAGTTCAAATATGACCTCAGATACTTGACATTTATTAACTGTGTGACCCTGGGAAAGTCACTTAACCCCCGACTGCCTCACCAAAAAGCAAAAAAAAGAAAGTTAATTGAATATAGCAATAAAGAGATAGTAAGCTTGGAGAGAATAGTTCTGATTATGTTAGATACAGAAGCCAGATCATAGTAGGTTAAGACAGGTAGTGAGGCTACTAGGTCTGTATCCCAAAGAGACAGAAAAAAAAAGGAATGGAACCCATTTGTACAAAAATATTTATAGAGGCTCTTTTTAAGGTAGCTAAGAATTGAAAATTGAGGGGATGCCCATCAATTGGGGAATGTCTGAACAAGGTATGGTATATGATTGTAAAGGGATATTATTGTGCTATAAGAAATGACAAACAGGATGATTTCAGAAAACACTGGAAAGACTTAAACTGATACAAAGTGAAGCAAGCAGAATCAAGAGAACATTGTACACAGTAACAGCAATATTGTATGATGAAGAATTGTGAATGACTTAGCTATTCTGAGCAGTATAATGATCCAAGACAATCCCAAAGGACTCATGATGAAAAATGCTAACCACCTCCAGAAAAAAGAACAAATGTTGTCTGAATATAGAACAAAACTTCTTTCCTTTCTCTCTCTCCCCCTCCCTCCCTTCCTCTCTCTCTTTCTCTCTTTTTTTCTTGCACAAAATGATTAATATGGAAATGTTTTACACGATTGCCCATGCATGACCTATATCAAATTGCTTACTATCTCAGAATTTGGTACTCAAAACTTTAAAAAAAATAAATATTAAAAATTGTTTTTACCTGTAATTGAGGAAAATATTATCATAAAAAAGATAGGTAATGAGGAAGTAGAAGTAGAAAATACAGGATCATAGATCATATTCTTTTCATAGTCTAGTGGAAGATATAGAACAATAGTCTAAGAGTATAATAGTAGGCTTAAGGGAAGATTGTTTTGTTTTTGTTTTTTAAGGCTCATGGAGACCTAAATAGGTTTATAGGCAAGGAAGAAGAAGTTAATTAAGAGGAGAAAAATGAAAATACATGTGGTCATGACAGCTAGAGCAAGGCACTAGAGAAAAGAGAGAAGAGAATCAAGACAAGATCAGTGCTTAGTAAGGAATAAGTCTATATCTCCTCTTGAAACTAGAGAAAAGGAGTGAATGACTGAAAACAAAAGTTTTTAGGTATAGAGGATGGGTTTTAAGTAAACTTAAATGACTATAGCATTAATCTCAGTAAAGGAGGTAAGATCACTTTTTAAAGAAACTGATAGCTTTTTTTCCTTTTGTTCCTAATCTATCAGATCTATCAGTGCCAATTTTTTTGAGGGGGGGTGGTGCTCTATAGAGGCAATGTTGTGCTCTAGAAGGAAAAATGGATCAGCCCTACCACTTACCAGGTGTGTGACTTTGGGCCAATCAAGCAGTTCCTGTTAGTTGCAGTTTCCTTGTCTAAAACACATTGATTCAATTTTAAAAGCATTTAAGTAACTACTACATACAACACATTATGCTAGGCACAGAGATATGAAGACAAAAGGAAAAACAGACCCTGCCCTCGTGGAACTTACATTCTACTTGCAGGGAGGGGAAGCTACAACACTCAGACAAAGAAATATGAGAAATCTGAGGAAAGAAAGAACACAAAACCCTTTAAGGAGCATCCAAGAGGCTTGCTGTAGGAAGCAGTATATAAAATGAATCTGGAACGAAGCTAAGGATTTTCAGAAGGGGGGACAACATTCTAAGCATGAGGTGGAAGTTAGCTGAGATTCAATATTAGCAAACAAGTGAACCGGTTTGGCTAGAATATAGAGTTCCTACATAAATAGAAATAATATGAAATAAGACATTATTTTTGTAAGGGTAAGCAGGCTCTCACCTGCTGTGAAGGGCTCTCTTGGCTCTGTGAAGGGCCAAGCTGAGATATTATTGATACTCTTACAATATATTTTAAAGAGATGTTATAAGTATAAAGTGAAATAAAATGAAATTAGAGATAAATGTAAAGTCTTGCATTTGAATAAAAAAATCTTTATAAGTGCAAGATAGGAGAAGGATAGATAGACAGCAGTTGTTTTGAAAAAGATCTAGGGGTTTTAATGAATTGCCTTGTCAATATGAGTCAGAAGTGTGATATGGCAGCCACAAAAGCAAATGCAATACTGGGTTGTATTCAGGACTGTATAATTTATGAGAATTAAAGGTACTATAGTACTCTGCCTTTGTCAGATTTAAGTAAATACAAGACACAGATGGGAAAATAATCTTGGAAAGGAAGGTTATCAAAATCGATATATAACCTGAATATTAAAGACCAACAAGTTGCAATCATAGGAAAGATAAAATTTAGCAACTAATTGGATATATGGAATAAATGAGATTGAGGACAAGAGGATGAGACTGAGGTTGTGAACCTGGATGACTGGGAGGATGGTGATACCTTCAACAGAGATAGAGAAGTTTGGAGGAAGAGTGGAGATTTTCAGGGAAAAGATAACCTCTGTTTTGGATATGTTGAGTTTGAGATGCCTATGGAATATCCAGTTTGAAATGATCAATAGGTAGTTGGAATTGTGGACTCACAGCCCAGGAGAAAGAAAAGACCTTAGATATGTAGACCTGGGAATCATCTCTATATAGAAGAGATAACTGAACCTACAGGAGCTTATAAGATC